GTCTCCTTGCTACTGTCGTCACTGACCCTGACTTTGAGTCTACTGCTGCGTTTGCCCTAGTCGCTGAGCTAGGCGACTTTGCTGCTAGCCGCCGTCTTGACTACGTCGCAAGTCTTATTACAGAGTCTGAGTCTGTCTGTCCTCCGTCTCTCGGGGGTGAGCCTGCCCTTGGCAGTGACGTCCTTGAGGACAGGCAGTTTGAGCTTGAGTGTCTTGCGGCCGCTTTACCTCATTTCGCATCCATGCTGCTTTGCCTTGAGGGAGACCTGGATGCACCTGACATCCCTACCCCGCGCTCTTACGCTGAGGCGATCGCGGGTGAGTAATCCTCTCAGTGGCAGATAGCCATGGACACAGAGATGGCTTCCTGGAAGTCCACAAGCACCTACGTCGACGAGGTTCCTCCTTCTTGGGCGAACATAGTCGATGGCATGTGGATTTTCAGAGTGAAGTGGCCGCCGGGTTCTCCGCCTGCCTTCAAGGCGCGTTACGTTGCTTGAGGCTTTAGTCAGCGACAAGGGGTCAACTCCTTCCACACCTTCTCCCCCACCCTGAAGATGACTACTCTTCGGGTGTTGCTGCACGTTGCAGCACAGCGTGACTACGAGCTGCACTCCCTCAACTTCTCCACAGTTTTCTTGCAGGGCAGCCTGCACAAGGAAATCTGGCTACGCTGCCCACCTGGCTTCATTGGGTCGTTTCCTACGGGTACCCAGTGGAGCCTCCGGCGGCCAGTCTACGGTCTCCGCTAGGCGCCCCACGACACACTGAGGACTACACTTGCGGCTCTTGGGTTTGCTCCTTCCTCTACTGACCCATCGCTGTTTTTACGCACAGACACTTCTCGGCCGCTGTTCTATGTTCTCGTGTACGTCGACGACTTGGTTTTTGCCACTGCTAACACTGAGGCGCTGGCCCTAGTGAAGGTGGAGCTGCAAGAGAGATACACCTGCACTGACCTGGGTGAGCTGCGGAGCTATCTTGGCTTGCAGATCACCCGGGACAGAGCACGGCGCACCTTCACCCTGACTCAATCACACATGGTGCACCAGGTCCTTCAGCGCTTCGGCTTCCAGTACTCCTCGCCACAGCCCACTCCTCTGCCTACTGGCCACTTGCTCTGAGCTCCACCTTCGGACGAGTCCGTAGAGCCGAGTGGTCCGTATCCAGAGCTTGTGGGTTGCCTCATGTACCTGATGACGTGCACACGACCTAACCTTGCATACCCTCTCAGCCTCCTGGCTCGCTACGTGGCTCCCGGTAGACACCGAAAGGTGCATTGGGATGCTGCGAAGAGGGTACTGCGTTACTTGTGTAGTACATCGGGCATGGGGCTCGTGCTTGGAGGACGGGGTTCAGTAGTACTCACAGGACACTCCGACGCTTCTAGGGCCGACGACCGGGCGACTCAGCGTTTGTCCCAGGGTTACACCTTCAGTCTTGGCTCTGGTTCTGTCTCGTGGAAGGTCCAGTCGTTCTTCTTCTTTGCTTGGTTCCAGTTGTGAGGCCGAGATCTACGCTAGGGCTATGGCTGCACAGGAGCTACGCTGGCTGACCTACATGGTGACTGACTTGGGGGAGCGGCCTCGTTCTCCTCCAGTTCTGTACGTAGACAACAAGGCCATGCTTGCCTTGTGTCACGAGCAGAGACTGGAGCACAGAACGAAGCACATTTCTCTTCGCTACTTTCTTGCTCGAGAGCTGCAGCAGCGTGGTCAGCTTCGCCTTTCTTTCGTGGCCTCTTGGGCCAACACTGCTGATGTCTTCACCAAGGCCCTCGGGTCTAGTGATCATCAGCGTTTTTGCACTACTCTTGGGCTTCTGCCTTCTGTGCCTCACTTGTTTGTCTCTTGATTTTGCACTTGTTGTACACTGATGTCTATATTTTTAGCTGCATGTTTACTCTTGCTAAGTTGTGATCAGTGTACTGCTTGTGCTATTATAACTCTGCATGTGAACTGGCCTTGTGGCCACTTGCTTGTGCTCAAAATGAGTGGTGATCTTGAGATCCACCCTAGGCTTTGCATTGCTTTGTTCTCTTGCCTGAATGGACTTGTGACCATTTGTTGTGTTGGCTATCCCTCACTTTGCCTAGGGGGTGTGTCAAAACATATTTGTATGTTCCTAGTTCTGCTAGGGTACAGGGAGGTGCTCAGTATAGGGTACAACCCCAGTTAGGGTTTCATACATGTATCTCCCTGTTGCTAATCATTCATCATTCCTGTTTTCCTATCTCAACAGGTTTGTTACATTCTCTGTCTTGTTGCTGCCTTGGAAATATGTGAACATGTATATGAGGGTGGTTGTTTACATTCTTTGTCTTGTAGCTGTTTTGGAAATATGTTCACATATTTCCACCCATCTGTTTGTTTTGCATCCTTCTATGCGTTGGTGCGCAGCGCTAGCGCTTCTGATCACGGACGTCCCGCAACGGCTGAAGGAGCGGTCTTCAAAGGTTGCACAGCTGGAAGCAACGGTTGGAGATCTAAAAGCACAATATTGGTGCTAGAGGAGAGGGCCACGGGTGTTGAGAAGAGGGAAGCTAGAATAAAGGATTTTGAGAAAATGGAAGCCAGGATGAAGAATTTTGGAGGCAAGAAATGGAGAGTGTGAAGAACACTTGGGGCAGAAAGAGAAGGAGTCAGAGCAATTAAAAGCGGAAGTGGTGATGCTTACGAATCTAGTTGACGAACAGAAAGCATTAGCAGGGGAGTCTGTATATATAGAAGAGCTTGAAGCAAGAGAGAAATAGTTTGTGGTGATGGAGGAGAAACTGAGGGAGGATCAACTTCTCTTGGAACGGAAAGTACATGGCTTCGAATTGAAGAAGAGGGCGTCTGGGAAGCTGGACAGGAAGGTGACGGAATTGCGTGAAGACCTGGAAGAGGTATGATGGGAAAAAAGGAATGGGGAAAGGGAAGGAGGAAGGGAGGGTGGGGGAGTGTAGGGGAGGGGAAAGGGGGGAGGGGTAGGGGGGGTTGCTCGTAAGGGGTGAGGGGGGAAGTTTGTTCATGTGTGCATGTATGTGTATGAAGGTGTGCTGAAACGGTACATACACGTGTGCACACATACACGAAACTGTCAAGCGCAGCACTTGCTAGCGTATCATGCTTTTGGTCTGTAGACTCCTGACTCTCTTTTTTTGTCCCGGGCCATGCAAGATATATGAAGATTTGCCTGTGCCTATGCTGCAGGTCACTGAGGAGCGGAATGAGTTGCACCAACAGCTAAGGATCACTCAGAAGCATAGGGGGAGGTTGCAGAAAGAACTGATTAATGCTCGAGATCTCTTATTGAAGGCAAGTGAATGAACACCCTCACCTTCGTGTTCCTGAATCCGTTTTCCTTTGTTCTCTTTTCCTCCCCACAGTTACCCACCATTGCAAATCTCTTGTTACTGCTCCCTCCAAATTATCCTTTACTCCTCAGGTTATGCGAGACTGTGTGAGAGGTCTCAAGGATTTTTCAGCTGAGGGATTACCACAGCTCCTAAGCACCATAAGCCATCACATTCAGCCTATGGTGGACTTGGAGGAGGAAGATCTGGTGGAGGCCGATCCAGAGCCCAAGCTAGGGGAGCTTGTGAGGCTGCTGCATGAAACAATCATCACGTTGCTTGCTTGCAGCACCAAATAGAGCTTGAGTTACTCACGGATACAGCGTACAGTTCATGATGAAGGTACTGTATGCTTTTTTTTTATGTGCAAATGTTTTTGTGGTCGGTGGTGAGGATGAGGACAACAATGTAGAATGCTTGAAAGGATCTTGCACATGTGGATGGACTGCAAGTTGTGCTGTATTCCCCCTGATACAGGAGTGTAAGGTGCTCTGAAGCGAAATAGCAAAGAAAAGGGAGAAAGAGGCAAGGTGGAGGAGAGGAAATTAATCATTATATAGATATTTAAATTTGTTCATTGATAACACGTCGATGTAGTATAATGGTCAGTATCTCCGCCTGTCACGCGGAAGATCCGGGTTCGATCCCCGGCATCGGCGATCTACGGTTTTACTTTCCCAGCTTGGGTTCCCCTTTTCATTACACCCTTTTTTCGTTCTTGTTTTTCGGAATCATTCAAACTACACCGCACCACTCTTCCGCAGCTCTCCCATTAAAATAGGCCGCATCGAGCCATTTGTCCAGCCAGGGCGATCTTCAACTGTCAGGTTTGAACCCTCCAATAGCTCGGGCAGACCCACTTTCACAATGGATTCGCCCTCCTTGCATGGGTCAGTGCTTTCATCGGCATTTCTCCTAAGCCTTGGGCCCGCATCTAGTAGCTCCTAGATTCTGGGTCACACTGCGTCTATGCAGTTAAATTGTTGAAATAGCGAGCCACGTGTCGTTTGTCTCAGCGCATAGTCTCTGCTCCTCCCCGCGGTTTCATCACCCTCCCTTTGTTCCATCAACGTCGTTCCTCGTCAGCCGCTCGTCGTTCCTCCGGTTACGATCGATGTACCGAACGTCGCGAGTCCTCTGTGGGACTCGTGTAATGTTTTTTTCAGCTCGCCGGTTCCGTTGACCATGCAACCACCTCATCGCCTTCCCTGAACTTCTTTCGCCGTACCTTGTAACCAGATGTACATCGAGGTTCCTTGAGAATGGACCGATCAATCACCCCATCGACCCACTTCCTGATGAAGTATCCTTATCGGTTCTCGAGGCTCATCCTAAATCAGCACGGATTTAACCCACCATTACCCCACTTGCTTTAAATACTCTGATTTAGTCTCGTTGAAAGTTCTTACATTCTTCGCGGCCATCACTCAAGCAGATCAGCAACTGAAAATCAACTGAAGATGGTACTGGATTATGTTTTATAGGCACTGAAAGGGGCTGTATGTACGATCGGTTGTACATTTTTTCCGCGATTGGCTGGAAGTAATGCTATGTCAAGCGACAGTTCGAAACTGGCAGTGAAACGCGACAACTATGCAATCAAAGTCAGCATCAGACATGCCCATGTGCTCATTTTCTCCCCCACTCCTCGTTGTGCATGCAGCTTGAAGCAGCCATGGCATGGAGCAATGACGATTTGAGTGCTTTCGAGGTGAAAGTGAAGCACTGTCTGCAGATCAGGAATCAGCCAGATAATGGTCAGTGGACGGACGAGGAGAAAGCTAAGTGAGTTGGGAAAAGTAGTTATTATTAATACTACACAGAGGGATGTAGACGGCTAAAAAGAAGTCTCTCTCCTCTTCCTTCCCATTTCCTGGTCCCCTTTTCTCTACTTTGTGGAAGCTCGAGTGTTGTTCAACCTGCAGTAAGTTCTTTCTTTTTTACGTCATTGTTCAGGCATAACAATAAGTGTCTCAGCAGGAGTGCTGCAAAACATCAAATTTACAGTCCTGCGAGCATACGTACAAGCTATTTTGCAGTGATGTTTTTTAACCAATGTTACTATGAGTGAACTCTTCGTTATCAGCCTTTTTATTTCTATCCGTCCATGCTTCTCTTCTCAACAGATTTAACTCACCTGCTGGAACAAGCCCTGCACAAGCTGCGGGGTCAGGAGATTCAAGTTCTGGTTTTGCGCGAAACGCTGAGGGCCATTCTTGCAACAAATTCTGAATTGGCCACACGGATGAAGGGGTTTGAGCTCATGGAAGCTAGACTCAGAGAGCATGTGCAACTGGTGAGTAGAATAAGCGAGTATTAGGTTAGGCTGGAGAAACTGGAGAGAGTATGAGAAACAGGAGAGTAGGGCTAGTGAGCATGATAAACCAGAGAGAAGGGTTAGAGAGTATGGAAACCTGGAGAATAGGGTTAGAGAGTATATGAAACTGGAGAGTAGGGATTGAGAAGGTATGAGATACTGGATGCAAAGGCGAAGGGAGGACATTGAGAATCTGGCAGCGAGAACAAGGGAAGTAAGACACCTGGAAGCAAGGGTAACATTTTGTGTTTGAGCAGGGAGTACGGGGGTCACACTTTGTGGTGGCCAAACTTCAGCAGGAGATTGTGTGTCTGGAGAAGAAGGTTGAAGAAGCTGGGCCGCTGGAGAAGTTGGTGCAGGACTTGAGGGAAGAGCTCGATGAGGTAGGTTGGGAAAAATGTTTGTATGACTTTGCAGACATGACATGTATGTGTGGGAGCTGGGAGCATGCACAGCTTGTTGCATGTTTATATGGTTGTTGTCATTCTGTACAAAGAGCCAACTCATGATCTCATCAATTGTCCTGGAGCATGAGACTCTGGTTTTTTTTTTTTTTTTTTTTTTTTCAATCTTTGCAGGTGACGCAGCAGCGCAACGGGCTGCGGCAGCAGCTGAGGAATACACACGAGCACAGAAGGAGGCAGAGTCAACAAATCATGGAAGCTCAAGATATTTCCCTTCAGGCAAGTGATAAATTGCACCTCTCCAACTCTCCTGCCCCCATCTCCACCAGAACAGTTGGCGATTCCGTTCCATGCTGTGTTGCCATTCTTTGCAGTTATGCTCAGGTGGTCTTTTCAGCTGCATTAAAAAGTGGCATGGCTGCTGAAGGAGGCGGGGTTGGGGGTGGGGAGAGGGGTTAGCAACGTGTGTTATATTGAGGAAACCTATTTATGACTTGTTTGCTTCATGTGCCCCACAGGTTCTGCGTGACTGCGTGAGAGAAATCGACAGAGTTCCGGCACAAGGAGTGCAGCAGCTGGTGCGAGCAATAAATGATCATATTCAGCCTGTGTTGGAGGAAGAAGGGGAGGATATCATAGAAGTCACTCCAGAGCCCAAGATATGTGAGATTGTGCAGCTTCTGATCAAGATCATTAGGGCACTGCTGTGCTTGCTGCTCTGCCCAAGTTGGCCAGACTGCCTGTGCCATTGCCAGACTAGATAGAGAACTTTCCCATGGCATTGGAGGGAGACCTTGCTTGAGAATCTGTGACAGCATATTGGTAGAGTACATTATGATTAATAATAATTCTTGTATTATTTGATCGCAATTCTCATAAGCTGCATGCAACGGCCAGACCCATCACATCCATCTAGGATACACTCTTTATGTTGGGGTAACAAATGCATGGTGTAATAGTCTTGAAGGAAAATCAGGAAGCCCACGACCTGAATTAAAACACTGAGGCTCCACAACCTCTGGTTACCGAATGTTTGTCCGCAAAACCGAAGCAGAAGTCGGGTAGCACAAGTTCGGGTGCAGGTGATTGTAGCACCCACACACGAGGGAACTTGGGGCTGTGGGTATGTATACCTTTGAAATTGCAATTCAGGGTGTGTGAGCACTGGCAACTGCACAGGGGAAAAGCGAGCGAGTGGGGGAAAAAGGGGTTGAGCGAAGGGGGAAAGAGAGTAAGCAGGGGGGAACGAGGGGCGGGAACAGGGGGTAAGAGAGTGAGCGGGGCGGGGGAGAGAGGTGAACAAGGGTGTTACGAGAGTGAGGCGGAGGGAGGAGCGGACAGGGCACAGGGAGGAGAGAACAGGGCACAGGGAGGAGAGGACAGGACAAACAGGGAGGAGAGAACAGGACAAAGGAGAGGACAGGACACAGGGAGGAGAGAACAGAACACAGGGAGAAGAGAACAGGACACAGGGAGGAGAGAACAGGACACAGGGAGGAGAGAACAGGACTCAGGGAGGAGAGAACAGGACACAGGGAGGGGAGAAGAGGACACAGGGAGGGGAGAAGAGGACACAGGGAGGGGAGAACAGGACACAGGGAAGAGAGAACAGGACACAGAGAGGGGAGAACAGGACACAGGGAGGGGAGAACAGGACACAGGGAGGAGAGAACAGGACACAGGGAGGAGAGAACAGGACACAGGGAGGAGAGAACAGGACACAGGGAGGAGAGAACTGGGTACAGGTCACCTGGCACTGAGGAGAGAGGGTTCACCTAAGGGGGAAAAACAGTGAGCGGTGGGAAGAGGGGTTACAGGAATAGGAAGAGCGATGTGCAAATTGGTTCGAGGGGATGGGCGAGAAGTGAAAGGGCGGTTTGTCGGGGAGGATGAGACGAGGGGGGATTGCGGGAGAGGTGGAATGGAGGTGAGGGAGGGTGGGAGAACAGACGACGGCGAAAGAAGAAGGAAGGGAGGAGGGGGAAGGGAGGAGGGGGAAAGGGGGTGAATGAGGATGAGCCCTGAGTAACTTGGCCGCTCTGCTACTGTAGTGGTTTACGATTTACGTTGTCGGAGTCACCAGCGCGAGTCGTCAGTGAGAGTCTCCAGAGGCTGCGCAGCCAAAAAAGACGTCTGTTCAGCAAGTAAAGGATTGTTGTTCGGGGCAATAACTACAATTCCGTAATCGCTCAAACATGTGTTCGGCAAGAAACCGCAAAGGCTGGAGTGCGATGGCGCCGCTACGTTCGCGAAACTCTAAACACGGAGAAAAATGACACAAAAAAATATATTCTACACCTTAGTATATAGTTCCTATCCGCACGAGCACTATAACTACTCGCCACGGTTGTACGTCCTGAAAAAATGGAAATTTCTCATTACTAGCCCCCGCTCGCCCCTGCAGCCCGCGCTCGCCCCTGAAGCCGCGCTCGCCGCTGCAGCCCGCGCTCGCCCCTGCAGCCGAGCTCGCCCCTGCAGCCCGCGCTAGCCCCTGCCACCGCGCTCGCCCCTGCAGCCCGCGCTCACCCCTGCAGCCCGCGCTCGCCCATGCAGCCCGTGCTCGCCCCTGGAGCCCGCGCTCGCCCCTGCAGCCCGCGCTCGCCCATGCAGCCCGTGTTCGCCCCTGGAGCCCGCGCTCGCCCCTGCAGCCCGCGCTCACCCCTGGAGCCGAGCTCGCCCCTGCAGCCCGCGCTAGCCCCTGCCGCCGTGCTCGCCCCTGCAGCCGCGCTCGCCCCTGCAGCCCGCGCTCGCCCCTGCAGCCCGCACTCGCCCCTGCAGCCCGCGCTCGCCCCTGCAGCCCGCGCTCGCCCCTGCAGCCCGTGCTCGCCCCTGGAGCCGAGCTCGCCCCTGCAGCCCGCGCTAGCCCCTGCCGCCGCGCTCGCCCCTGCAGCCCGCGCTCGCCCCTGCAGCCCGCGCTCGCCCCTGCAGCCCGCGCTCGCCCCTGCAGCCCGCGCTCGCCCCTGCAGCCCGCGCTCGCCCCTGCAGCCGCGCTCGCCCCTGCAGCCCGCGCTCGCCCCTGCAGCCCGCGCTCGCCCCTGCAGCCCGCGCTCGCCCCTGCAGCCCGCGCTCGCCCCTGCAGCCCGCGCTCGCCCCTGCAGCCCGCACGCCGCCCCTGCAGCCCGCGCTCGCCCCTGCAGCCGCGCTCGCCCCTGCAGCCCGCGCTCGCCCCTGCAGCCGCGCCCGCCCCTGCAGCCCGCGCTCGCCCCTGCAGCCGCACTCGCCCCTGCAGCCCGCGTGCTGCCCAGCCCTGCAGCCCGCGCGCGCCTCTGCTGCCCAGTGCCCTGCGTGCGCCCTGCAGCCCGTGCTGATCTACCGCCCGTGCTGACCTACCGCCCACGTGCCTGCGCTGCCCGCGCACTGCTGTTAGCTCGTGTCCTGCTACCCACGCACAGCCACTCCAACAGTCGCTACTGCTGTTACAGCCACAGCGACCACCGCTACTGCTCCAGCTGCAGCTACAGCAGTCGCTACTACCGCCCTTGCACCGCTGCTACTAACTGCCACTGCCTGTCATGGCCACTATCATGGTCGCAGCAGCGTCTATGGGTGGACAACAGCAGCCACTGCCTCACTCGGACACTCTATCACCGCAGCAGCTTCGCGAGTGGGTTATTCAGCAAGGCCGTCCTGGTGGTGGAGGTTATCGTGCTGGAGGTGCTGGAGGTGCTGGACAGCAGCAGCAGCCCGCGCACCCGGACACTCTCTCGCCACAACAGCTTCGTGAGTGGATCGTTCAAAGAGGTTATGGTTTTATGGGTACTGGACAACGGCGGCAGCAGTGTCAGCAGGAGACCTTCTCCCCGCAGCGGCTTCGTGACTGTGGTTCTCAACGAGGAGTCCCTGGTTGTGTAGAGGCTGCTGCTCTAGGTGCTAGTGAGTCTGCTGCCGCTCTAGTTACTAGTGAGTCTGCTGCAGCTCTAGGTGCTAGTGCGTCTACCGTCACTGGTCCTGCCTCAGCTGAGGCCTTCCACACTTTCACACTTGACTCTGGTGCGTCTCGTTGCTTCTTTCGTGATTGCACCACAGTCACACCGCTTGCTGCACCAGTGCCGGTCTCACTGGCTGACCCCTCTGGGGGCCCTGTCGTTGCACGAGCCTCCACAGTCCTCCCGTATCCGGTAGTCCCCTCCGGAGCTCTTTCAGGTCTCCACCTCCCCTCGTTCTCGACGAACTTGGTGAGAAATGCAGTCCTTCAGGATGCATTGGTTGATACCTTTACTCCTGGAGGGCAGCGTGTGTCGATCTGTACGTGCTCCCGGACTGGCCATCACCTTGTTACGTTCACTCGGCAGCCTAGGTCCAGTCTGTACACCTTGACCACTGCGTCTGCACAGGTGGCTGCGTCAGGTCAGGTTGCTGTGTCGAGTCAGGTGTCTGCGTCTAGTCAGCTCGTTGCGTCGTGCTCGTGTCAGGTACTCTCCCAACAGACTCTCCTCTGGCACCACTGCCTCGGTCACCCCTCTCTGCCGCGTCTACGCATCATGCACTCTCGTCTCCTTGTCTCTGGCCTTCCTAGGTCCCTGCCCCCTCTCCCGCGCTCGCTTGCCCCGCCGTGCCTTCCCTGCGTCGAGGGGCGGCAGCGCGCCGCTCCTCACTCCTCCTCATTTCCTCCGACCACTGCTCCTCTACAGACTCTCCACATGGACGTGTGGGGCCCGGCCCCCGTCCATGGGACGGACCAGGAGCGCTACTTCCTGCTGGTCGTTGACGACTACACGCGTTACACCACAGTCTTCCCCTTGCGCAGTAAGGTGGACGTCCGACGTGTTTTGATCCCCTGGATCGTCGCTACTCGTCACCAGCTGTGCGAGCAGTTTCGGCGGGACCTTCCAGTCATGCGTCTGCACTCTGATAGGAGCGGTGAGTTCTCTTCCGGCCTCCTTGCGGAGTTCTGTAGAGACGAGAGCATCGTTCAGTCGTTCACGCTTCCGGACTCTCCGTAGCAAAATGGGATTGCTGAGCGTTGCATTGGCTTGATCATGGAGGTTGCTCGTACCTCCATGATCCATGCGGCTACTCCCCATTTTCTGTGGCCGTTTGCGGTCCGATACGCCGCGCATCAGCTCAACCTCTGGCCCCGTGTCTCTGTGCCAGAGACCTCGCCCACACTACGTTAGACGGTGGAGGTTGGCGATGCATCGGCGTTTCGGGTCTGGGGTGCGCTCTCCCTTGTTCGCGATACCAACGCGAGCAAGCTCTCTCCTTGCACTCTCCGCTGCACCTTCCTAGGCTTCCCCACCGATGCCCCGCCGTGGCAGTTTTACCACATTCGCTCGCGTCGGGTCCTGTCCTCCCAAGACGTCACCTTTGACGAGTCTGCCTGTTTCTACAGGCTACACTCGCACGGGTCCCCCCGGGTCCCCCTGGCGCCTCTCTTCCTGGTACCAGTTCCCCCCCCCGCCCCGGTAGACCCCCTTCCCCCACAGGGTCCTGCTCCTTCAGGTATCTCTCAGGTAGACCCCCTTGGTTGAGCCTTTGGTGATCTCCTCTTACACCTGTGGCCCAGCTGAGGGGGGTGACCTCGCTGCTGACGACACAGCGACCACTCGTCGCTCTCCACGCTTGGAGACCCCTCCTGGTTTTACGCCTCGAGCGTCTTCACCGCCTCTGCGGCCTGTAGCTGTGGACACTGGTGCTGCTGGGGGTGGTGACAGTGGAGGTGAGGACGCAGGAGGTGCTGGTCCTGGGGGTGCTGAGACTTGGGGTGCTGGTCCTGGGGGTGCTGAGACTGGGGGTGAGGGTTCTGGGGGTGCTGACTCTGGGGGTGCTGTGAGACCTAGTGGTGGTGGGGCCGTGGGTGCTCCTGCTGCAGGTCCTGGCGTTGGACAGCAGCAGCAGCCTAGTCGACTCGAGACGCCCTCACCGCAGCAGCTTTGTGAGTGGGTCGTTCGGCGAGGCCACTCTGGTGCTGGAGCTTGGATTTTTACAGCTCCTCGAGCTGCTGGTCCTGGAGGTGCTGGCGCTGTCGGAGCTGGAGGTACTCGAGGTGCTGCTGTCTCTGGAGGTGGAAGTACTGGAGGTGCTGGAGCTGATGGTCCTGGAGGTGCTCCTACTAGAGGTGCTGGAGCTGCTGGAGCAGGTGGTGCTGCTGGTGCTGGAGGTGCTGGAGGTGCTACTGGAGCTGCTGGCACTGGAGGTGCTGGAGGTACTGCTGGTGCTGGAGGCGCTGGAGCTGGAGGTACTGGAGGTACTGGAGGTGCTGGAGCTGCTGGTCCTAGAGGTGCTCGTACTAGAGGTGCTGGAGCTGCCGGAGCAGGTAGTGCTGCTGGTGCTGGAGGTGCTGGAGGTGCTACTGGAGCTGCTGGCACTAGAGGTGCTGGAGGTACTGCTGGTGATGGAGGCGCTGGAGCTGGAGGTACTGGAGGTACCAGAGGTGCTGGCGCTGCCGGAGCTGGTGGTGCTGCTAGTGCTGGAGGTGCTACTAGAGCTGCTGGTGCTGGAGGAGCTGGAGCTGCTGGTACTGTCCTGCGCCGACCGTTTTTCTACCCGCAGCCGCAGTCGTCCCTGCCGCCGCCGGACTCGGTCCTTCGCCAGGTTGTTCGTCTCCCGTCTTCCACTGGCCTCACTCCACCTCTCCTGTGTCCACCGGCAGACCAGTCTACGCCACAGCTACTGCCTGGCTACCCGCTCCCTGCTCCTGCTCCTCACACTGAGGTGACTGAGTCCCTGACTGAGCGTCGTGAGCCTGAGACTCATGCTTCCACACCTGTTCGTACTCGTCGTGTCGCTCGTCCTCGTCCTCTTGTTGTCCCAGGCACTCACGTTATGGCAATTCGTCC